CAGAATATAAAATGGATATTGGGCACAAAGTGAGCAAATGATGAAAATATTTGTGATGAGATAATTTAAAATTCAGTTCATCTCTTTTACATATAGTACAGTAGATATTTAGACAATGTCAAAATTAAAGATTTTATATTTTTAAGAAAAACAATGTGTATTTCTTCTTATATTTCTAAAATTATCTGTATCTTTCAAAGGCTGTCAATTTCAATCTTTTTAGATTTCAATCATTTCAGACATTGTGCAGCCATTAAGTAAGAGCACTAGGTTACTGAAGCCCTGAGGACCTGAGGTAAAATGCAAATTCTGACACTAACAATTACTGCTGATTTGGGGCCAGTTACTGCACACTAGGAGTATCTCAGTATCTTTATCTGTAGAAATAATAGCTACTTGCTGCATTTTTAGCAGATTAAACATGGTTAAGTTATACAAAGCCCATAACAAACATTTACAGCTTTAAAATAATTCTTTTTAATATTTTTGATAAATCTTATCAACTCTCTTCAGTGTTTCCGCATCTACAACATTTACATACTTATTAAAGTCATCCTTTGACTGCTTATCAAAGGACTTTTAAAGTGTGATGTTGTTACTATCCCACCATTTTGATCAGTGGCTTTTGAAATGAAATATTTTATTCTACTGGACCTCTAGCACACCAGGTATATTTGCAATATGGAAAATATATACAATATTAAAAGGCATCAGCATACATTGTATCAAAAATAACGAAGCCTTAAATCCTCAGTACAAACATATGTACACACAATAAATCTGAAATCTCACAGAGCACTATTTTCATCATTTACTTTGAAGCCAAAATTAATAATCATGACATTATAGGTTAAATTTTACAGGGGCCGGCCAAATAGCTCAGTGGATTAAAGAGCCTGCAAGCAGGCGCAGGGGCTGGGGGTTCAATCCCCAGGTTTGCCATGCCGGCTCTGGCCCAGGGCCCACCCCCAGGGCATGCTGAGACTGAAACTGAGACTGGGGAGAAAAAATGAAATTGAGACTGGGCATGGTGGTGTGAGCCTATAATCCCAGCTCTTGGGAGGCCGTGAACAGGAGAATCACTACAGAGTCTGATCTAGTAGTAAGATCCTGAACACCATGTAGACCCTTCCCTAAAATACAGGAAAATAAATACATAAACTTTACATTTTTCCCATTGATTATTGTTTTTAACTCTATTTCTGTATGTTGATTAATACACTAGCACCATAGCTTTTTGTAAATACAATCTAAATTTCAAGTAAATTTATTATAGGTGTTTAATTTTATTACTTTAAATCTCTACATTTATTTTTTTATTTCTGTAGTGATACAATGCATCAAATATACTTATGTAGGTTCTGGGAGAAAGAGCAAGATGCTCCCCAAAACCTGATGAAGGAACATTGGTGCTTGAGCACCTCAAGTGTATGCACTACCACAGTGGCTTCAGTATCCTCAGGTCCAATATCCTCAGGTCCTGAAGAGATTCAGAACCACCACCAAGGACAAGTCTGTTGCCTTGGCCTTCCTCGGCAATGCTCATCATTTTCCAACCTCTCTGGAATTTTTACCCTAGAAAGCCTGAGTGAACTGACCATCTCACAATTAAAGAGGAAAATTCATCTAATAGCCAATGACCTAAATGACAACTACGAGTCTGTTTCCTCATTATACACTTGACTCAACTATTTTTTACCCTTTCCCAGAGTTTTATCTCTCTCATTTTTATCATTGTAAACACAGAATCTACATTTTCCAATTTCAGAGGCGAGCTGTTGGCTCTTGACAAATACCAAAAGATAAAGTTATTGGTTACTGAAAGGACATTCAGATTTTTCTTGAAATAGTAAATGTATCTAAATTATTTTGCTCTCCCCAATTTGGCCAATTTAAAATGAATATATGAATTCTTCATGATATCATCTAGTTTTAAAGTTCTTTACATATTAAGAGTATCATCCTGAAGTAGAATTAAGATTTTAAACAATTTATATGACTTTCTGAACAACATAAAGGAGCTAAAGGGCTGGGGAGATGGCTCAGTGGAAGTGCTTCCCTGGCAAGCACAAGGGCCTGTGTTCAATCCCGAGTTCCGCCAAAAAAAAAAAAAAAAGAGCTAAAATTCTAAATTTTTAAATGAAATACCTCTTATTTAAATTTCCAAAACTAGGTTTAAACTTAGAATAATCAAGAGCTTTTAATTTTACTTGAGACAGTTTTAATATCCATCTTCCATCTATCTTTACTTTTTTCACTGTCACATTTGCTAGGAAATGACAGGGAATGAGGAGTGGGAAAAGGACAAATTCATTCACTTTACTGTTTATCAGCCAACAAAATTAAACATTTACTGCCAAGAGTTATGAAAGAGTAAGATGACACAAAATATTAACCTGATATAATGGTGCTGGGAATTATCTACTATACTCATCCACACTAGCATTCTCCAGCCCTGGCACTGAGAATATGATGTAGACAAAGGTCCTCTACTGTCCACTCCTTTTTCCATCAGGCTCTTTCATTCCCTCAGTGAGTGAACACAAGAGGCTGACTGGGGCACGCCTTCCACGTACTGCTACACAGCCATACACAAAACAAAAATCCTCATCTTCATGGACTAACTCTTCAGCAGGAAGAGGTAACTTTTTAAAATACAATACATAGTACATCAGATAGTAAGCGTTGTGAATGAAAATGAAGTATGAAAAGAAGAGTGTGGAGAGTCCAGGCCTTATACATGAGTTCAATTTTTTAAACTGAGTAATCATTTGTTATATGCTCCTTTCTAAAAAGTACTTATTAACACTTAAAAATCGATATTTGTTTTTTTAAGCATCAACTCTTATGGAGGGATAAACTAAGAACAAATGTCTGTTACAGAGAACTGCTGAATAATCTCAAGACTACAATTTTAATGACAGAGTGGTGGGCACTGTTTAACTTCTATAGGATGTTCTCACACTACTTTCCTAAGCTAGCTACTAGTAACACAGGTCCGTGTGTCTCATGTGTAACAATCATTTTTACTGGTGATATGATAAATTTTTTGAGAAACCTGATACTTAATAAATGGCTATTAAGTAAAACAAAATACAATTAAAATCTTGAAGAAAGATAATTTTTCATATTCTGTATTGATTAATTTACTGAGTTTTAAGTGAACAGAACAAACAGTCCTTTAATATATGTATAACTTATGTTCAGCTGCAAGCCATTAATGGTGAAAATCTTTTTTTTTTTTTTTT